CAATCACAAACTCTCTTGGGCTATCTCTGAGCTATCACTTCATCAGCACCTCCCCTAATTTGTTCACATATTTCTTCCATCAGCCCAAGACACTCCAGGGGCATTTCTGTCCTCAGAACCCTGATGGTCCCACTGTAAAGGCAGCCACCTTCTGAGAAGGGACTAGCAACTCCAGAGGCTTCTGGGAAGGGAAGCCAAGGGGGAGGGCCTTACCACATATCCAGAGGTGCACTATGTTATGTAGCTCACAAAATTAATCCAGCTCCATCCATTTCCTGAGCCTACACTAGGAGGTGGGGGCGACGCATAAATAGGGGTCCTCCCCTAATACAATGCCCTGAAGTGGCACACTTGTGATCATTTTTCAGGGCACAGGTCAACATGGTGATTTTAATGTCAAGATGAGGAAACATTACTTCCAACAATAAGAAGCAAGACTGGGAGGCACAGGGAAAAAGCAGTGGAAGGACTTTGTCACCCTATTCATTCCCCAAAGGAGGAGGGCAGGCTCCAGCCCAGCCTCACCCCAGATATTGGGACTCAGCTCTGTCCCTGCTGGTGTGTATCATCACTCTCCTGGGTAAAGACACTGAAGGTCTAACCACCTACAGAGCTTCCCCAGATCTTGAGGTCCTTGGCCTTGACCTTATGGAAGCACCACCAAAAGGACAGAGACTGCTTCTCACCAAGTCTGATCACAGTATGAGCCAGATGGGAATACCAGCTGGGAGTGTCTACAAAGAGAACACTGTCCCCAGAGAGGATTTGATCTGGGCCTGGAGGCTCTGAGTTACCTGCTTGCACTGACTCTATAAGGCTCCAGCTCTGTGTCTCACTGACTTAAGAGAGACAAGAGCTTGGACTGAACTGGCCAGATTGGAGGCTCAGGCCTAGCAGCAGGCCAACCAGTGGCCTGGATTACCCCTTTCTGCCCAAAGAGACAGCTGTCCAGCCTTCTGCTTAATCCAGGCTTCCCTTCTCTTCTGACCACATGTACTGCAAGGTACTGGGTGCCCAATGAAAAGTGGAATCCCTCACCTTTCCTAGGGGACCAGAGAGAACAAACACACTGAGGCCTAGAAGATGAAGCTGCAGGTGAGGGCCACCGGCTTCCCATGGGAAGAGCAGTAAGGTTGCACACCCACCCAGCTGGTGGCCAAGCTGCCTTCAGCCCCTGTGTCTCTGGGATAGGTCCTGCTTTTCCTCCTAAAAACTCTGGGCTCTGACAGCTTTCCCTGAAGCTCCTTCTGTAGGGGACTTCCGAGGGCCGTGTGTCTCTGTGTGTGTGTGCGCGCGTGTGTGTAGGGGGCATGTCTGGGAGAAATAAATCTGTTCCTACCTGCAGGAAGACCACAGACCACTTTGTCCTCTGTCCAGGAGGTAGAGGCATCCAGTGACAGAGGTGCTGTGCATAGAAGAGGGTCAACCAGTGTGAGGCCTCCTCTAACTCTTTCACTCCCCACCAGCCTGATGCCTGATAACCTAGCAATTCAAAGGAAAGGTCCTCACTTCTGATCCCAACCACAGGTGCAAACGTGGGCTGTGCTGGTGCTGCCTGCCACCCGAGCATGCTCTTCCAGCAACAGGAGGGATGAGGCACCAGTGGCTACAGAAGGGCAGAGTAGTACCCCTCATGTCTATCTTCGGAGCAGTGGCCAGGGGGCTGGATCCTAGGGCAGGTTTGTGGCGCTGGAACCTCCACATCAGCCCTAAACGGGTTAGTAGAAGGGGCAGAGTTCCCTCTCCCTGTCCTCACGTCCCCAAGGGGGAACTAGCACCGATCAGGTATCAGGCACGGATAACCGGAAAGAGTCTGAGAGGCTATTTTGAGGCAGGGACCCTGCCAGGATCCTTCTGAGGATCAAAGGAAAACTCGTGAGCAGCGTCCAGTCTGAGTCTCCATCCACACCTAGGAGATGCGAGGGTCTGTATCGGGTAATCTTCCAACATAATAGGTACATTTTGATTTAGCCTCTATCTCTGTTCAAGTTCTCAAAGAGATAGGGGAAACCGTCCACTGACCGGAAGCCTGGACTGGTAGCGGAACGAGGAGCTGCTAATGGTGAACGTCTCCGCCCAGGAGCGAGGCAGCGCGCACCCCAAATCCTGTCCTGGCCCCCTCGGGGCTCCTTCTGCGGCGCCCTCCCGGCAAAGGAGCCGGTCACAGAGACCGCCGGTGGGGAAACCAGGCTTGTGCAACTGCTTAGCGCACCCCCGCCCGGCCGATTGTTGCGAAGCGCTCCCGCGACACGCACACGCTCACACTCTGCTTCTCCGGGAGGTCGACCCCCGCTGCGCCACCCCGAAGCCCCAGCAGGTGCAGCCTCGCCGCGCTCCCAGCCGCGTCTACACAAACTTGTTTGCCCGCATCAGGGGAAACCCCCGCTCGCGGCACGCACAGGGTCCCAGCTGGGGCACCCAGGAGAC